ATTCTTCACCAGCTCTTGTTATAAGTAAATCAATGTATAACAATTGGATTAGCCATTTAATATAACATCTAGTAATCATTTATTATCTCTTTACAAATGGAACTTTTATATTAAGTGTGACTAGATTAACAAACAGCCTCTCTCAGACCAAGATGGTGAGTGAGTTTCAGAGTCAAAGCCCCCTAGAGTTGCTGACCCTCCAGGATTGGCCTGGAGTCTCCAGGAATTACAGATTAAAGATTATGTCACGTGATGAACCCTCCAGGAATACGTCCAACCCAAACTGGCAACCTAAGGACCCCTCACTCACTCTCTCTCACACACGCTCTCACCACCCTGCCACCAGTCATCTCCCTTTTGAAATAGGGACGCTGTGCCCTTGCCTCCCTCCCTGCCAGCCAGTCTTACCCCTCTCCTCATCATACACTCAAGGCTCTTAGTGCTCAGCAATCTGCCTCTTCAGCAAACGCTCTCTGACTCCCTGACTTCCCCACTGCTCTCATTCTCTCTTCTCAGTACCACACCTTTTACTGCATAGATCATCCCTGCAGAGGGTATCATAGTCAGAGCACAGATGCTAAGTAACAACATCTTAAATTTCTCATTACCTGATGAATAGTAGGCCACACACTGGATTCTGAAGCTATGTTTTTCCACTTGCCAAAGTGCACATAGGCGACATTTTAGAAAATCATAACCCCAGAGATTAAAGGCTAACACCGTAACTTCTTGTTCCACCTCCCTGATCTCTTCAACTAATCAAAACGAAGATGAAATCACAAAGAAAAAAAAGTTTTATTTTTTTAGAAGTAGCCCCAATGTGTCTAATCAGTGTGCTACCCCCCAACATAAACTAAAATAAATACTGGTAGCATAACATGTTTAGTCTTCTGCATTGGTAGGGAAAGCTTTATTCAATTCTAACTATTTACCAAGTAAATCAAAATGAATTAGTAAACAAAAGAAAGGACTGCTCTCAAATCCAATAAAGTGATAGGCACTTTAATGCTTCAGAGAATCATTGCATAACTCACTCTGTACATCATCAGTCTGGGCTTCCCACTGCTGTCATTGTGGGCAATTCCAGTTAATCAGAAAAACAACTTTCCCTACAGAATGTGTCACTGACTTTCAGAAATAGCTGTCAGTCTAGTCTGTCTCAGTGGGATGTTTACGCATATTTGTTTTTGGGTGATTTGAAGATTCTAATAAGAGGGATAATGGTGTTCTCTCACACCTTTAACTGAGCGTAACACTTGCAATTGGTCAGTGCTGTGTTATCCCCACAAGATCAAAGAGGTGTGACAAACACTGGGTGATTTAATGTTTCCTTGGAAGGGAAAAGGCCATTCCACTTTCAGAAGTCCCAATTGACTGTAGCAGTCTCAAAAACACTTTGTCTCATCATTACATTTCTCAAAACAGACACGACTTCCAGCTTCTTTAGAGCATTGTGGTCCAATTTTGCAAAATGGCCTTAACGTGGCCTCTCAGTTACAGGTTTTGCAGGAGAAATTATTCGCATATCCAATATTTTTGCTCTACTACAAAGTGCACACAAGCAATAGTATTTATACATACAACCATACTTGTATATGCCAGTGGGGATTGTGCATGTGAAAGCTATTACTTGGGTTATACAATGACTGAACTGCCAATCTCTCTACCGATATTATGGACCCAAATCTGCTGCCACTGAAGTCAATAACAATTCTTTCATTTATTTCCTTGGGCACAGGATCAGAATCATACCGTGGAAAAATGTGAAGAGAGACTAAAAATAAAAAGACAGACAAGCTAGTTACTATGCAGAGGTGATAGCTCTTCTATAGCTAGGGTGACAACCAGCATCCATTAAAAAGGAAAATTATTGCTCCACTCTAATTTTGGCTTGAAAAATTGATTTAGCCTGAAAATTGCCAGATTCTCTGAAAGCCAAAGCAAGTGTTTCCACAAAGTCAGAAGAATTGATTATGGATCATTAGAAAAATTATCCTGATTTAAGTCTACAGTTTTTGTCTAACATAAATTTGTCTCCTTCCATCTTAAAAATAGCTTGTTACTACCCCCACAAGCTTTCCATATATTTACATCTCTGAAAATTCAAGGGCCTGCTCCTCAAAGAAAATACTTTCTAATTAAACAACGTTATTATTTTATTCTTTATTGATAATAATTCTGGGCCCGATTTTCCTCTCCCTGATGTCAATGGGAAGAGGTTTTTTGCCACTGACTTCAGTCGGAGCAGGATCAGATACTATTTATATGAGAGTGTGGTGCCCTAAATTGACAGGGTGCAATTTTCAAGAAACGAAAATGGGCCTTCAATAGCTAACCAAGTTTTTCCTTTATCTCAATGGTAGACACTTGTGTTTTTGAAACTGTAGAATCAGGTTCTAGTCCTGACTGTGCAGGCTTGTATGTGATTTATCACGGAGAGTAGTCTCTCGGTAGATAAGCGTAACCATGAAATACCTTCCCTCTCCCCCATTAAAATAAAAAAAGTTGCTGTCTGTCTGGTCCTTGGTTGTTCATGGACCCACCCAAAATATGGACATCAGAGAGAAGGAGGCTTAAAAATCCTTCTTCTGATATCTAGGAGCATGTTTTTGTTTTCTGGAGTCAAGTTTAAGTATTCTGGACATCAATTTGTTACTCTTTAAAATATCTTACGCTATTTAAGTTGCAACAGAGACTACCTTGGAGATTATACTCAGGCATACCTAGTTCTCAATTTTTTCCCCCTTACTCTTTTCTTCATTGAGTGATTCCTCCAAGAGACAGCCAAAAGAAAAGAAGATCCTGTATGTACAGAAAAATGGGTACACACAGATTTCGCAACACACAAAAGTAGTGGAGAAAGATGGAGTGATGAGTTTTTCTTTCACCATGGTAGCAATCCCCTTTGTTCATGGTAGCTTTAAATGTTGTTGAAGCTGCAATTAATTGTCCTTTATCTGTCCTATTGCCTCCTTCATCTTCTAATATATCACTGATACAATTGTCTCTGCCATTCAAACACTACAATCAATTTGAATCTAGGGTAGATTTGCTAGTCTCTAAAACTAACTCTTCAGAAGGGAACATTTGGAAAACTGCAGGAGAAAAATAGTGAGTGAAAAGTATTATCTGACAGCACTAAGACCACTGTAGGTGTTTTTATTAAAGATAATGTAGCTCTTCATAAAAACTGAGCTTTGTGACAATAATATTAAACTTGTGTAATGCTAGGATATTGGTCTAAGGGAAATTTGTTATATTTAAGTAAAAAAACATTTTTTTCCTGATGTAGCTACTGCTACACAGAAGCTCATAAAGGAATCATTGATACTTGTATCCAAGTAGATATCACTTGAACTGTACCACTACATTTTCCTAAAAGCTCAACTTGATGGTAAATTGGAAGAAAGCTTCATCAAAGTATAAAAAGACAGACAACAGTTTTTTATAAGTTCATATCTGAAAAATATCAATGAAGGGCAGAAAGAGATGGTCTGGACTGTCTGGATGAATCAGAAGATAAATTTATGACAAAAATCTATCCTTTTGGATTTTCATTTAACTCTTTTGTTATGCTGTGGTATTTCACTATGCTAACACGAATGCATTTTATAGCTCCCTACTAGAGCGGAGTGAATAGCAGGATTTTTCAAGTCAGTGGCCAAACCAAAAAATCTTTGTGGGGGCAGCAGGAGAGAAATGGTTAATTTTGAATGGAAATGAATTTTTGTTTCTTGCAGAAACAAAAAAACACTGAAAAAAATCATTTTGGAAATGTTGATTTGAAATGAAATGTCAAAATGTTTCATTCACCTGAGAAAATTCTAGTCAAATTGCTGGCTGTGAACACATGATCTTGATAAATGAGCCTGGGAATTAACTTTCTTTCTTGCAGAGCAGCCAGATAAAAGGGAACTCTCAGAAAAGTCTGACTGCCTGTCCAGACAATGGAGAGTGTTTCAACCCAAACAAATCCCTTAGCAGCCATCTAATAGGTGCTGTTACTGCCCAGGGTCCTGTTACCTCTTTCTTTTTAAACTCCTTGGCTCATAACATGCATGACATTAGCACTTTTTGCCATGACCATAGGTTGAACAACAACTGAAAATTATAAAAAAAACAACAAGGAGTCCTTGTGGCACCTTAGAGGCTAACAAATTTATTTGGGCATAAGCTTTCATGGGCTAGAACCCACTTCATCAGATGCATGAAGTGAAAAATACAGGAGCAGGTATAAATACATGAAAGGATGGGGGTTGCTTTACCAAGTGTGAGGTCAGTCTAACAAGATAAATCAATTAACAGCAGGATAGCAAAGGAGGAAAAATAACTTTTGAAGTGGTAAGAGAGTGGCCCATTACAAACAGTTGACAAGAAGCTGTGTGTAACAGTAGGGAGAAATTAGTATTGGGGAAATTAAGCTTAGGTTTTGTAATGAACCAACCACTTCCAGTCTTTATTCAGGCCTAATCTGATGGTATCCAGTTTGCAAATTAATTCCAGTTCTGCAGCTTCACGTTGGAGTCTGTTTTTGAAGTTTTTTTGTTGAAGAATTACCACTTTTAGGTCTATTATTGAGTGACCAGAGAGATTGAAGTGTTCTCCTACTGATTTTTGAACGTTATGATTCCCGATGTCAGATGTGTGTTCATTTATTCTTTTGCGTAGAGACTGTCCAGTTTGGCCTATATACATAGCAGAGGGGCATTGCTGGCACATGATGGCATATATCACATTGGTAGATGTGCAGGTGAACAAAGCCCTGGATGGTGTGGCTGATGTGATTAGGTCCTATGATGGTGTCCCTTGAATAGATATGTGGACAGAGTTGGCACCGGGGTTTGTAGCAGGGTTTGGTTCCTGGGTTGGTGTTTTTGTTGTGTGGTGCGTAGTTGCTGGTGAGTATTTGCTTCAGGTTTGGGGGTGTCTGTAGGCGAGGACTGGCCTGTCTCCAGAGGTCTGTGAGAGTGAGGAATCATCCTTCAGGATAGGTTGTAGATCCTTGATGATGCGCTGGAAAGGCACCCTTGAAAATCTCAGTTTCACTATCCATGTGATAGGAGGATTATGAACATTTGCATGGGGCAAATTCAAAGTGGAACAAGGTTCTAGGGCTGGGAGAGGAAAAAAAACAAAAAACAGTTCTGTACATTTTGAGTAGCCTACTACAGTAGTTTTAGCCATGGACAGATGTGCCTAGTTGTCTGAAAATGAAGACGTGTATGCAGACAAAAAGGACATGATGAACCAGTTGAGGAGCAGAGGCCATTCTGCATCTCTGTCTAAGTAGTCATCATCTGTGAAAAAGAGAGTCTTCACCGGACCTAATAACATGCCTCATTACTTCACACTTTGGGAAAGTTTTATAGCTATAATTAAACTTAGCAAAGCAGTATGATTGTTGGCATTATTTAAAAAAAGGTGCCTGATAAAACAGGCCATATCTTGAACTGGTGATACAATCTAAAATACATCAAAACAGATGAGCATGTTTTAATGAATGTTAATTAAAATTGCATTTCAATTAGAGTCCCCCTTTGCCCACCTTCCCCCAGCCCTATTATGGTTTTCTCAAAGCATTCTGTGTGTTTTCCTTATTTTCTCTCTCTCTAATTTTATTTAAGTTTCAATTCCACTAGGGTGAAATTCACCCCTGCGCAGCACTTAGTTCCCATTTATTAAGTTCTTTTGGCCTTGTGCTGGCCCACTGCGCAGGGGAGAATTTCACTCTTGGAGAAAGTGTTTTTATTTACACATTAGCCACTCTTATTTTATCGCTCTCCTTCTTTCTTACACCATTATGGGGAAAAAAGTTCTATAGCATTTAAACACAGAATGATAACTTTCCTGTAGGTTTCTGGAGCCTGTGAAAGAGCAGACTCACCATTGGAGTGCCCACTTGTGAAAGGGTGTGGCATAGCAGGCTCTCTCCTCTTGAGCACCCCCTGCCAACACTCATTCCAGGCCCATGACCATCTTCTCCCCCGTTTTGTGCTATTCTTCAGCCCGTCCTCAAGGCGGTGTCTTCAGCTCTGCCTTGGATTCAATAGCTCTTTCATCAGGCTCATGCACCCCTTCCTCAGGCCCGGTAGGGGAACTTGGGTTCACCCTCTGTTCTGGGTTCCAGCCCCGGGACTCTGTATTAAGCAGCTAGATCTGCTCCTTCAGATGTGCTGCTGTTTTCCCAAGCCACTTCCTGTCTCTGAGCTCCTTGGGCTGCTTCCCTGCAGCCTGTGCTTAGCATAGCCTCTGCTCTGGTTTCTCCCTAGGTCCTTCCAGCTCCTCCTTTCTCTGCTGGAACCCTCCCTGAGGACCACTTTTTTGGGCCTTGCCTCTTTTCCAGGGCCCACTATAGGGCTTAATTCTGTCTTTGTGGCCTCCTTCAGTCTGCCTTCCCAGAAAGAGAGAGAAAACATCCTGTCTCCTTCCTAGGTTTCTCTGTCTTGCCCCGCTCCTGGGCCTTCCCTGTAGTTTCCCCTTCCTTCTTTTACAGTGAAGACCCTGCTTATCCCCAGCTGGTTCTGATAATAAATTAAGTCTGACACCCTCCAGCTGCAGCCAGGTGGGCCAACTAAGCTCTCAAATTCCTATCATCTCCTTGTTCACCTGAATGGGGTAAACATCCCATCCTGGAGCCATCCTGGATAATTTTATCCCTGCAGTAGGATTCTATAGGATGATTCGGAAAAGCTAAAGGAAGATTATCATTCCCTCTCCTATTGCATTGGTTTTAGAATAATTTATAGAGAATCCTAATACTATTCTATAGAACCCTACCGGTTATGTTCCTATTGAGCGGCAGATTGTGGTCTATGTTGTGTGCCCAGGCAAGGCGGCAAGGGGAAGGTAAGACTATATTACTCCCCTGCACTGGGTATCCATAGTGTGGATAGAAGTGCTGAGGGAAGAGGAGTCTCCATGGGGCTACTATGCCTCAGCTGTGCATGCAGGCAGAATTTTGAATCACCTGTCCCCTGACAAACACCCCAGTCAACATACTAGGTACAGGTCTAGTGCCTGGTAAATTCCCTTCCTCTTTCCCCTTCCAAGGAGCAGAGGGAAACCAGTTGGTAGATTGTGACTGAATCACTGTCTGCTCCTGGGGCAGAACAGCTGTGTATTGCCACATACACATAAATGATACAGACGCTCCTCGGATTACGCAAACCCGACTTATGAAAATCCGGATTTACGGAAAAAGTTCTGTAAGTTCCGTAAGCATTTTTTTTTTGCATAGTTGTTGGAGATACGTTCTGAACTTATCCAAAATTTGATTCAGAATGGAACGCTTGCGTAAGTCGAGGAGCTTCTGTATAGGATTGTTACGTAAGAGGTGGAGTATCTCTTGGTTTCCCTCCTCAATTTGTGTTTATTGAAGACCTGATCAATTGATGCTGCTACATATGCAGCAACACAAAGATCAGCTCCACAATACTACAAGAGGGTTTCCTAAAGAGGCCCAACTCCAATCCAACAAAAACAAAACAAAAAAACCCCATGCCTTGTTTCTCCAAATAGAAGGTTCACTGCTCATAAAAATGTGCAAATAGTGCAGAGGTTGGGGATGACTGTGCACTCCCCACTCAGCTCTGACATCATTTGGATGTGTTTTGGCCCAAGTTCAGGATTTCAGCAGATCGTACAATCATTTTTATCTCAGGTTTTCTTGTTAGAAGTAGACAAGGCAAATACAGAAGGTTAATACAGTTCCAAAATACATTTTTACATAGGAAAGAAAGAAAAAACAATGAAGTGTAACAGTCCGAAAAATGCTGATTAAATAAGTTGCTCCATAGTGATTTGTTGTAACCTCATGACAAAGAGACTCTGGTACTTCTATTTCTACCGAATTTCATTCCTGTTATAGCTGAACTCCGAGGAAGTGACGGGGAAAAGATATTAATACATCTTGAGGTTGTGAGGGAGCTGTTTTTCAAGTGAGACAGCAACAATGAGAATTTTGAACACCTCATACGTCAATGAAATCCAGTTTTCTACTGCAGGTTTTGCTCTGAAACAGGAATGTGCTTGGAAGCCAGAGCTCAGGATGCTAAGAGCCATCTATTAACATAGAAATGGCTGTCAACAATGAATGCTTCTTGTTCCTTTGTTTCTTGCAAACATACCTTTCAGTCTGCAACCCTAGTGACATTAGCCATTGGTGTGACGCCTTATGCTCAACCTACTCATGAACACATTGCTGGGAGATAGACTTGGTAAGAGGCTGACTGGGGAAATATATATAAATGGGTTAGAAATTTGCATTGTTTGAAAAGGAAAAGCAACTAACATAATTAGTAACTAGCACAAATTTGACCTGGCAGAAATCATAGTAACAGTCTCCTAAAGCGGCTGAAGACAGTGGGAATGCTGAAATCAGTGGAAGTGGAGGGCACCCAGGACCCAGCATCTGAACAGATGGCAGTTACAGCCCAATAAAATTATGAACCATCAGGACAGTTTCTAAAGAATGGCTTGAGCTATATATTGTAACAAATCTATAGCTGTCTATTATTTCATGGCTACACTATGCTGTGTGCTAGGCCCACTCAGAACATATTTGCAGCGGCAGGGATACAATCCTGGTTCTTCTTCTTTAAGGTCTGTTCCAAAGCCCACAAAAGTTAATGGAAACACTCCCATTGCCTTCAATGGGTTTTGAAACAGGCCTTAAAAGCAGAGGCCTCTACCCTTGAGCTAAAATATTCCATTAGCTTTAGCAGGATGCGGCTATGGCAAACAGGGTACATCTTCACTGCAAAGTTAGCCCAGGTGATCAGCTGCCATCTGGGCACCCAATTTAGCCTAGTCCAGGTGCAAGTGTTCCCACAACAAAGCCCTGTCCATATTACCATGTCCTCACTATTTCTTCATTCACCCATGTATGTCTGGGGGCATATCCCATGTTTCTTTGGGCTGAGACGTGTTAGGATTCGTTTCCCAGTCAATTGCGGGGGGAATTGTGGGAAGGGTATTGGAGGACTTTGAGCACTGAAGTGATTTTTGCCTACATCCACACTGCAAAGTAGTCAGGTTCCAGCCTAAATGCAACTGGAGCCCAGGTTCTTACCCACTCCCCAGCTGGTAGGCTAGACCAGGCTTAAAGCACCTCCAACCTGGGCTCCCATGTGAGTTGCAGGGAAATTTAGGCTAAAACCTAGATAAGCGCCCAGGTTAACTGTGCAGTGAAAACTTACCCACAGGTAGCCACTCTAATTCCACCCAGAAGAGGGTAGTTGTATACATATACAATAGCCAGTGCTGTTTCAACATGATTGTTACCTACTGGCAGATCAGCATTATTTACCAAGATAAACAAATTCAGTACACACTTTAAGCTTGTCATATTCCACTTCTGGTCTAAATTTATTCAGTTCTAATAGCACTGCATCAAGAATAGCTCCCAAGTGAGATAAACATGTTAAGAAAATTAAGGCCTTTTGCTGTCCTGGAAACAAATTGTATTCTTTTGTCCTTCTAAATAATGAGAACGTTAGCACAACACATCAGGAAGCATTTAATAGAACATAAAGTGGACCTGGTAGAAAATTTGTGTAATGGCAATATTTTTCTCTCTGGGAAAGAAAAAACAAAATAAAACCTTGTGAATCTTCATCCAACTGAACAGACAAGATTGTATCTCTCATTCCTGCCTCCCGCACCATTTGAAAGGGAGCCTTGTATCTGTACAAAAGCCTGTTACTTAAGATTGGGTCAATGACTTGACTGCAGGAACTGCTGGAGCTTGTAGCTTTGTTGTTAATCAGTTTTCCTGCACTTAGTTGAGGATTAGCACAGACTGCCAGCTTTATCTACATTGAATTAGAGTACCTGGAGGTATCAAGGATGTAGCTATATGATGCTCATATAATTTCAATGATTCTCCCCCCCACCCACACACACACACTTCTGCCTGTTCAGGATTAATCAACCATTAGACCAAGTGAACACTTCAAAGATGTGCCATTCATTTTTGTTTTGGAGAGATATTGGAAAGGAAAATGTGGTGTGGGGCTGTCACATGTGGTGGCAGTGCTTAGTGGTGTGACCTCAAGTGCTATAGTAGAATTGGTGCTCGTATTCTGGAGCCAGCACCTGCCTAGAAATTAACAAC